AGATTTCCTAATGATAATAATATTTTGCAATATATTTTCGGACATCTGACACACAACGCCACCTAATTTCAAACTAAGCAGAGCTTGTACTATTTCATTACTACTTTTTTTTATATTATACATAGAAAACACCCAAACTCCGAAACAAATATTTGCACATCATACAAACAGGAAGGAGGAATCGAACCCGAGACCTCAGAACAGCAGTCGCATACGCTTCCACTGCACCACAGGCCCCTGTATTTGAAAACATTTTCTTATTTATATTTTTAGTTTTAAACTTTTTGCCCACAGATTTCTATTTTGTTTAGCATCGGCATATATCTTTATCAAATTTCATAACTTTTTATTATTGTTATTGACCACTGGATGAATATTAGATGCAGTTAATCAAGTAATCAAAGAGCATACCAATTCTGAAAAAAATAAAATGTAGGTCTTCAAAGCAAATCCAAAAATCATATAATAAGCTACTACCGGTCTTTTATATATGGTATTTCTTAGTCGAATTTAGCTTGAAATCCGCAGTGGGGTTACATCTCATTACGTATACAGTAAGTCAAGCGCGGCTGGCCAGGTAGTCTGCATAAGGCGACGCGTTCACATTGCCGAGTGCAACGTTGCGCTCTCCATTATCCTATGCAAATCCGGATTTCCCAAATATCGTGCTCTGCCGCGGGCCACCTCGCTATCGCGGCTATTAATAACGCCCCGTGTTACATATACGAGCCTCGAAGCTCTGCCGTTTAGTTCGTCGACGAAATACACTAGCCGTATGTTACTTTATACGCTCGTGAGTCAGCCATAATATTAAGTAGCGCTGCGCAGTATTTTCCAATTTGATTAAATCCTGTTTCCAATTATGAGGCTTCAGATAGGGTATTTGTTTATGAGGGTTCTGGTGTTATAATGTAATTTTTTTCTTCCTTACGTATGAGCAGGTAGCCGTACGAAAGAAAGAAAAATCTAAAAAATAGTGTAATATACGAAAGCGTGAAATACAAAACGTTCCCTTTTATAAATAAATAGAAGTTGTGTTCGGAATACTTACGAGTCATTTTTAAATGAGGGAACCGTCTTGGGTTAATGCGTGTTCGCGCGAGCGCCTATATCTGCCTACTTAATTTGTTACGGAGGCACTCTTGCTATAATTCTACAAAATGACTTCGTATACTTCATGGCAAACTTGTTTAATATTCTACTAGGTAAAGTGTTTATCGTGGCTAATCTCGTAAAACAGGTTAGTCGAATGAAGGGTGCACATCATCGTGCCGAGGTCAGAGGACGGGGTCAGGTCGACGCGGGTCAGCCGGTGAAAATAATCCCTTATCGTTGGGGCGAATTAAGTACATATAATTGTTTCATTATAGGTAGATAGATATCGATATAGGAGCGATCTTATAATTAAACGAAGAAAAGCAATTATTTACATTGCTGCGCTTGCCATTGGACATACTCGGCTGTTAAAAGTTGAGTCAGTGTGAAAAAAAAAACTGCTAGGGTTTTGAAGACTTCATAATTTGATTAGATACCACAATACTATGGACTGCTAACGCCACTTAGGTAACCCGTCTAAACCGACACGATTTTTTCTATTGAGACCAACAAATGAAAGTTCAGAGCTGGAGTAACAATGGCTAAGAGTTTACATCCTCATTGTAGTAAAAAAATTCAGATGAAAATCCAGTAACTATAACACTTTGAAAGCGCAGCTCACTTCAATAGAAACCTAAGCATTTTACTTTACAATTACTTAACAAAAACGTTTGGATATATTTAATCGTTTCTTTATTTAAAGAGAAAAAATAAAAAAAGGATGCTCACCAAATGTAGAAAACTCCAGTATACTATAAGGCAAATGCACAAGTCGTCTACACAGAAACGTAGTCGCAAACGGAATGAACACTAATGGCGTCCACCTACCCTTACAATTTAATTAAATAAGGCTTCAGATTAACTCAGTAAGGTTTCATACAAAACTATTCCGTTTCATATTTCCCACCCCACGATAACATAATACCGCCAAGCGTTGTCTACATAGAGACTCGATTATATTATAATATCAATAATACCTACGTACTTGTTACAGGATAAAACCATTATTCTAACATCAAATAATATCACAGCATCCCAATAAGATTACCTGGAACAAAAAGATTACACAATTAGTCGAATCATGCGATTTGTTTACGTCAAAGTCAATTAGGCTAAACAATGTCGCTAATAATAACAATGGGAGCTGAAGTGACGAACGAAAGTTACTCTAGTGTACAGTCTTGACTTTGATAATAATGGGTTTGGTTGGAGAACGGTGGGGTTTGGGCGCACAGGCGATTGTATCCGATGATAAACATCACCCGCCCGCTACGCCATCCAAGAGCCGGTGCTAATTAAACAACAACGGAGAAAATTAATTTGATTGTTACGGAACTGCGCCTCTTTGTTTAGGCCTACGAACGGGTTTACCTAGAAAAATATTGGGTCGATCATTCACGATGTCGCTATCTAGACGCTATTTCACATAACACCATTTATTTTATTATTATTTAATATATCTAGACACAGACGCGTCAGGTCCCGATGGCACGCAAGAACACACTGAACACACTTAATGGAAAGCTTCCAAGTGCAACGAATCGATCATTGTTAAGGGAATTATGTCAAAGTATGGTGTATTTTTTAGCTTATTCCTTGTTTTTTACAAAATATCTCCTATATCTTTTGAACTGATCATGGCGATATAAGTGGTGACGAATCTAAAATGCGGCAGGGCACACCAGGCCCATACAAGGCTTTCACGGTATGTTCCGGCCACGGAACAAGTTTCAGAGTGTCGCTTTACTCGTACCATCACGCACTCCCCAGTGATACAATATCACACGACATACAACTTGTAGTTATTAATAACGCACTGTAATTAATTAAACCTGTTCGTTCGGATATTTTAGTCACTAACATATGTTAACAAGATCTGATATTCCCGCAGCGTAACGAGATCATCTTGTTATACGCAGACGAAATAACATAGTTATTGTCATCTACACTACTATAAATGAATAATTTATAGGGTTAACGCATACGGTAGCGCTTCGGGTTTAAATTTAGCAAAGTATTTAGAATCACCTACTCACTTATATAAGTTACGCCAATATAATTCAGGAAAATTAATCGAAAATGGGTATGGGGGTTGACAAAAAATTTAATGCTTAATCAGAAATCTTTCGGTGTGAAAATGCAGATTTACATGTGGTATACGACTCGACCTGCTCGTTCGTGAGTCTGAATTATTTACGCGGTTCCAAATGCGGGCGATCTGCTCTCCACACAGATCGAGAGGACAAACTCTAAGTTTACACAAATAATTTAATTTGACCAGGGTAGCCAGCACTTAAGCATGATGTAAAATATCAAGGAATGTTATTTCTAAAGCGCTACATTATTGACAAGTATTGGTCTTTTACTTTTTCTATGATTTAAAAAATATGTTATATATTGGAGTAAAGAATGCAATAAGAAACAATATAAAGTTGTGTAAAATAAAGCCAGCCTTATGAATAAAAGTTTAATAAACCAATGAATCAATTTTAGCACATGCAACATTAATTAAAATGTTATGTTTAAAATTCAAAGTGAGAGTTTAAGAGTATATGAAATGTAGATGTCCAAAATGTATTCAGAATAGCGGAAGCGACTCATTAAAGGATACGCGGTTCATCTCATCCGGACAGGGTTGGACAAAAACGGCCCGCTGTCCGTTACGGTGTGGTTCGCAATTAAACACGAGACTGAACGACGACCGTTCATTGGGAAAGCGCTGAACAAGCGAACAATACAACGGCTATCTAATTACTTTGTGTCTCTACGCAGCCTGTTGTCTCTACAATGTAACGTCACTGTAAAGTTGTTTGTGGTTTTTGTCAAATGTACAACCTCTATGGCCCTTGCAATCGGACGCTTCAACAGCTTTAATGGGTTATCGAACACTAAAAATCCGTACAATATAATGTACATGTATGCCACTAATTAACAAAATGTTCAAATTAATACGACATTGGATTATCGAATGTGGTACTGAAGTCTATAAAATGTCGTTATTATTAAGAGCCCTTTCAGGTTATTAATTGGAGTTGAAGTGGGGTTTAATACAATCGAAATCAAATTAAGTACATTCAGTTGCGGTGGGGTGAGTCGGGATCAGTTGATTCAGCGGCATGACCGCCACGTGCGGCGCCGCTTCCGGCTTGCCAATAAGAACAAGATCTAACTTATACTCTAAGAGCTTGTGTGAAGTTTATTTAATAAAAAAAAATTAAAGTTTAGTAATTACAATCTAATAATGATCGAAGTCAAGACAAACATGAAAATTCTAGCAAGTTTCTTTTTTTTACAAACTTAGGGCTGTCGTAGATAGTAAGTAATATCTAGTACAAATTTAATATTATATAAATAATAAATATGCCATTATCGTATGCCAGCCCAAAATACGTACAATAAAATACAATTACAGAAATAAAAAGTCTATTACTAAGAAAAGTACAATATTTCAATAAATCGAGTTTGGAATACAAAAAAGGATATTAAATGACATAAAATTTAATTTTATTATTTTTAGAGTATGCGATAGTCGGTACAGCAGTAACAACGTTGCCAGGCGAGACAAGTAAACTCGAGACATGCGAATATTTCGCTCAATGTGTGTGTGACGACGAGGATCCTGCTGAAACGCCCCATTAATATGCAAAACAAAACTTGCAATTAATTGAGCTTTAAAAGTTAAATCGTCACTACAAGCGGGAAGTAAAGTTTAAATCAAGATTTATTATTGACAACGGAACGGTATTTTGAGAGTGACTGCAAATAATTCACAAGATATGAACAGCAGTAGTGAGGCTTGACATCAAGCAGTCGTTCCCTTGACATATCAGACTGGAAGCGACGTGCTGGCGGGATTATGAGGCATAAGAGGCGAGTTAAGTTCACGTCGGAAATGGATGGTCGAATTAATTGAAAATAAGCGTCGGTGTGCGGTCGTGCGGTGGCGGATTGGGGATTAAAGTTGCAGCAGCTGGAGCAGGTGTGGCAGGCGCGGAGGAAGGGGGCGGTCGGTTGCATTGCAGAGGGGATAGAGGCTTGCTAAACACAAAGTCGAACCGTTGAAAAATGGAGCTAAGAGTCTTAATGCTGCCGGAATAACCCATCCACAACGTGGTGGATATAACTGGTGGTGGTGGTGGATATAACTTAAGGCTATTGGCTACTTTGAAACGATATGCGCTACTAAAGTAAAAATGTTTATAAATAGCACCTGTAAAATTTATATGCTTAATTTACAGATACTTAAGTAGTTTAAGTGAACGTAAGTTTGTTATTACTTAGCAACAGCCTTCCGATACAATTTCTACCCTAAAGAGAAAAATAAGTAACCATCGACTTTGGAGGGAAAAATAGTTTACACAAAATAAAGGAAATTATATCCCTAAAAATGAATACAGAATTTAGAAATTATTTAATATTACTGCAATGTTAAGCACAACTTCTCCCATGATTCAGCGATTTCGCGACGTCGCAAAACACCGAGTAAATCTTTTCGAAATATCAAAATAAGATTATTTTATTTTGTGTCTGCTCTTATGGAACAGAGGAGAGGATGTCGTTTATCTGGTGTGTTCTATGCACAATTTAAATATGTTGTATTATATTTAAGTCAAAAATGTACAAAGTAACAATTGAGATAACTGTGCCCAAATCCGTAAGTGAGGGTATCAACGAAAGCTAAACTTTATTAAAGGTCCGACAGCGTCAAAGGCCGGGGTGGTCGACCTTCATAAAACAAACTTTATGACAAACAATAACATTTATTACATAGTTGAGTATTAATGCGCACTCCATTTACAGCAGGACGAGCGTCGCCGCGCGGCCCTCCATTGTTGGCCGCGCCGCAAACATCTTTTTAGGTTTAATAACTTACCCCCGATACGAGACACCTTCCTTATGAAACATGCATGACTGCTAATCTAGTACGCTGTTACAGTCATTAGCTTTGTGACAATGCTCACCGTACAAGAATGATGAACGAAATACATAACTACAAGTTAGACATTGTTAAACCCGTTTTAACTTTAAATCTTTTTCTACTTCTACTGCAATACGGCAAGACATGCTTCTGTTTATTTATGGAGATAATAAACGGAAGCGACATTAAACGATATTTAATAAAAACACAAACAGCCCCGAAGCAAAGGTGTGGACAGTAACGAACGGTTGTTCTTGTTCTAGACTGAAATAAAATTTTATATAGGACCATTATACGTGACAAACGACGTGAACGACACGAATATCCTCTTTCGAGTTGCGCTTTTTGTGTCTATTTCTATTGCTATGTTCATAATCATACGTATTACGGTACTATGTAAAAAGTGAATGTATAAGCAACAATTACAGAGACAATGCTTGAAATGATAGACTTACTAGCTCCAGAAACTCATTGTCATTTTAACTTTATCCTTATGAATGTATGGTTGTGTCAACAGTCAATGAAAAAGGATTTGAAATAAAATAATAATGGGAGGCGTTTATTAAAATTGGAATTAGTTACTCATTATGTAACTTATCCTTTAAATAACTATACACTATTCGTTTTAGAGACATAAAGTGACATTATATAAAGCCACCAGCGGACATGTGTCAACCCAGAGCCCTTTCCAGCGAATGTTTTTACACTAGAGAACCGTTGAGAATATCGCTCCGGTTAATAACATTTAAGGAAATTAAATTTTTGGTAAAAGGATTGAGCCAAATATGCCATACCGCCAGCGTTTTTGTTAAGCAACATATTTAGGACTTTATTTTACCACAGTATTGTGTACACTAACAGAGTTTGGTTGGCAGAAACTACACATATTTAAAGTATATTCTGCTATCCTAATTCTGATTCCTTATGAATCATTAATGGCTACATTCGAGAGAGCAAAGTTATTTACTTATTTATGACGGATTTCAGCAGTTTTAACAATATTTTACATTTGAAAAGATGTTAGGCCTAAGACGAATATTAATATATATTTTAAATTTTTAACCTACGAAAGACAATGTGTACGTTGAAATTGATATTTTAATAACTTTTCCACATTATTATTTGTTACTGAGAATTGCAAATATTTATAGACGTCCATTTTAACTTTACCAAATGCAAATTTACTATTACTAATTTTTTTTCCTACTACCAAACGTCGAAAGCAATATTTTGTAGTACTTGCTAGTGATGCAGCGGCTATTGGCATACATTTAGACATTCGAAATACTTCAGGTTAGTCTCACGTCCTTCATGTCCTAGACTTTTAGAGAGCTCAGATCGCTTAAAAACAGACCGCTATACAGATAGCACCACGCTTATAGTGCAGATATATCTACAGAATAAGTACATTATTGAGTATAGAACTACAAAAGGGAATTTGGACTTGGAACCTTGGGAATTAGTGAAACGCCTAAGCATTGAGAGTTTCATGAGTAAAACTACGTTTCTGATAATAAATTAACAAATCAGAATATCGAAAAATATATTTAGGGACAGTGTTGATAAAAATGATTATTTGATGGCAGACATTTATTCGTAACGCACGTGTTTCACACTCAAACGTCAGCCTATGTAATGTGTAGGCGTGTAATCGCGATTGCTGCCTGGTGGTACTTGTCGATGCTCATTTGCGTATCTAAGTGGGCTCGCGGAGGCCATTAGCCAACGATCGAAGGCGTCATTACTCGCGTAGTGGCGCGCGATAAGGAGTCCACCGACACTACACTCTTAACGACACCGCCTGCGGTACAAGTGGACACCTACCTTCCTTCCACCCTTCAAATCGCTATTAGTAAAAGAATTTACGCAAATGTTACAGAAAATTAGGCCAAATTTTATGCTAAAAGCTTTGGGTTAATTGAAGTTTTATCACAATTTACGATTTAAGTATATTTATTACATGTTCTTTTTAATATTTCCACTTTTTTAGAATTTACGGGATAGCGAAGTATTTCTACCAAAGCTTAGACTTAACAAAATTGAAGAAGTATTCTGAAGTGCTTAAAACAGTTATAACTCTTCATAACAGCTTGCATGAGTTTAGTACATTTCGATAGTAGATTTAACACTAAAATCCTACAGTAAAACAAATGTCGTGGTTTTGCCGTTTTCCAAGAAATTCTCCATAGGTTCTTGGAGAATTATGTGTTATTGATTGTCTACCTTACTTACTGTAATGATACTTATTTATTTGAAATTTATGGAATTTAAATTTTATGAATGCTAGATAGTAATAAATTAAATTACATATTTTCTCAAATTTTTTTCAGGGCAAATTATTGGATTGGATTCTATTTCAAAACCTTATTCAGTACTGCATGTTGGGCTTTTCTATACATATATCCGATGGAAAATAAGTTTTAGTTGTAACTTGACACATATGTCCTAGATTACGGTTGTTATTTTTTATTTTTCTGAAGCTACGATCAGCCCATTATGGACAGAAATGCCCTACATACTGTTCATATATGATTGCATTAATGGTCATGAAACGCCATTGAGAAGTTTCATCGTCGATTTTAACGAGATTGCCGGTAGTCGCCGAAGCCTGTAGCATCGAATTTGCGGTGAGCCAACACAAGTTGACAACTTATTAAATTCCGAGGAATACTTTCTGTTTTCTTACTTTTTAAGAAGATTCTTAAACTTAACATTAAAGACGTATTTTTTGTTGGTAGAATCTATCAAGAACAGATAATCTATATCTATAAATAAGAAACTGACAGACTGTTTAACTGACTGATCGATAAACGTACAGCTGAAATCGCTGGGTCTAGACATGAATTTTTGCACAAATGTTCCTTAGGTGACGTAGGTGTGCACTAAAAAAGGATTTTTATAAAGGCCACACAAAAAGGAGTTGGCAATTTATTTAAACTTAGTTTTGTTAGTAGCGTTTTTAAACTCAGTAAAATACTCTTTATAGTAAATAGTATAGTATAGTAAAAGTAATAAAAAACGTTGTTACTAATTATTCTTAACTACCCTTAATAATAATTAAAGGCTTAATAATAATAGGGTACCGATAATAATTAGACACCTATTTTTTTCTTCTCTTCAAGACTATACATGACCAAATAAGGTTGTTATAAAAATGGGTTGAGAATTAATATAACTATGATATTGATTCATTGTACACTCTACAATGTCTGTTGCCGACCACCAAGCGGACGAAGTCTCGGGCAACCTACAACCTAAACGGGCAAAAGCTAGTATAGTCATTTTAAATCATGTTAAATTAATCGTTTTCCTATCTCCTATTTTATTTCAAACTTGTAAACCCGTTATTTTAAGTGCATGTGGGGTTAGCCTGTAAGTGATTATTGCACTCGTGTGAGTGTATAGTTTAGTCTTCAAGTTAATTCTGTAATGTTTAGTTTAATAATCGTTGGCTGACCAAATAAATACTAATACAATTAAATACTCGTTTAGTTCACTCACGAAATAATTTTGTGCTTCGTGACATAGTTTATAATAAACAAATTATATTGTTCTTCTCAAATTAAAACCTTGTCTAGGTATGTTGTAAACAAAGCATATTGCTTTCAAAATAGATGCGACCTTTTCAATATCAAAATATTACCATCAGAAGAATTGATAAAGCATGTGTCCTTATAATTGTAAAGGAAAGTCCCAAAACTGAATACATGTTTTTATATGTAAACGCTACTGCTGGATGCCGATGAATGGCACATCACTACTTTATGAAATAAAATTTGAAGTGTATGTTTGTAATGTCAAGATAAGAGACAGCTTTTTACTGCTAAGTATGTTTAAGTGTTTTTCACGGGACATTTAAAAAAAAAAGTCTGGCAGCAGATAAACTACAGAATAGTTTAATCGATTTTCACGGGACTAAGGAGTAACTTTGGTTACTTAACAGAAGCATTTAAGATCACAGCTAGTACTATATGATGGTGTATCGAGCGGTAGAGATTGCTTTGCCATTGATCTTTATCGGACCACACGGTGGTGTGAGCCGACTTCACTTGCACTTGCTAATCCGATACATGTATTATTCAAGCAGTCAGGAGGAGCGATACGCGGCAAACGGGCCCGCTCATTACAACACGAGCGCTTCGGCTGGCGCCGGCTCGACGGCTAACTTCTGCGATGGCAGACAACGCAACCGATTAAAATTTCATCTCTCTTTGTTCGGAAACAGAGATAACGGATCGATGAGCGCCACTAATGCCCTTGCATGCTCCAGGCTGATCTAAATTAAATCCAACGATTTCATTAGTTATGCATTTAGCTGATTGATAGGTTTAAAATTTAAAAAGCTTAAAGCTTACCTAAGTAGGTACTTTATTTGGTCCCTGAATTACTATACTACTATTAGTACTATTAAAACTTGTTATATAGGTGAATTAATAGCAAGACCCATTTCCACTCCATAGTTTTGAAGAAATCACTTATTCCAAAATTGTAAACCACTTGTAATTGCTTTTTTATAGGAAAAAGCACATATTCCTGGAAATCATTTGTTTGCTGTAAACTAAGTTTGCCTACAGATGTATATAATGAAGCTACAAAAGGTTTGGAAAAAATGTAAGCAATTTTACACTCGAATATTTATTTGTAGCGTTACATTTTTGTGTTTTGCTTAATAAAATGTAGATAATTCTTTCTAACATTTGTACGTGTTCATTGAAAATTCTTACTTGCCGGTTCCTTATGTAAAAATCATAATATATGTAGGTAATTCAAAAGTATGATAGAAGTTTATATAGTATTCTAATCTGTGAAATTAAAACTGTTCGGTGGTGGACTAAGCAGATGAGGCTGATTGAAGTTTCATTTAACGATATTTATTGCAGAGACCTTGATCGCCAATTATATTCGAACGACGATTGAAACCATGCCCTCCCCG